AGAGGGTGCTAGGGACTGAACTGTGTCCCTCCCCAAATTCCTATGTTGAAGCTGTAACCCCCAATGTGACTGTATTGGGAGACAGAGCTTTTAGGAAGTAAAGTTAAATGAGATCATAAGGGTGGGGTCCTAATCTGATACGATTGGTGGCCATATAACAAGAGGAAGAGAGAGATCTTTCTCTCTCTCTATGTACACACATAGAGAAAAGGACATGTGAGGACACAGTCACAAGGTGGTCATCTACAAACCAGGAAGTGGTTCTGGTGAGGATGCTTTGATCAACCATGCTGATGCTTTGATATTGGACTTCTAGCCTCCAGAACTTTAAGACAATAAACTTCTACTGTTTAAGCCACCAGTCTATGGTATTTTGCTACAGAAGCCTGAGCTGACTAATAAAGGGAGCAAAGAAGACTTCTCAGACATAGTGCTTGGGCTAAGACTTGAAGAGAACAGGAAGGACTTTTTGTTACCAGGTGGTGAGATGTAGGGTCTTTCCAGGCAAAGGGAACATGAGGCAAGGCACAGAAATTTCAGGAAACAGCATGTGTCCAAGTAGTTGAAGCACATGTGCCTGAAATGGGAGGGGAGGCTGGAACAGTAGCAGAGGCCAGATATTGAGGTTTAACATCAAAGGCCAAAGACTTTGCTTAAAGGATCAACTCCAGTGGGAAAACACTGAAGGTTCTTAAGCTATTGGGAAGTACATAATAGTATCCATTTTCAAAAGACCATTCTTGTGGCTGCATAGAAGGCCAGACTGATAACAGTGAAGAATAATTAGGCTCTGATTTTCACAATGTGCTCCATGAGGCCCTAAGGGTCTCAGAAGTCCAGGGTCACCGTGAAGATGGAGGAGGAAGCTAAGTGGACAGGATCCTGAGACCGCATGTCCACTTCAGTCCCAGCCCTGAAGTTCTGTGGCCCTGGACCAGACCTGGAATCTTTGTTACACTCAGGACAACCAGCCTTAGAAAGTCTGTAAAAGGTCTTCAGAGACTGTACTGAAAATGGCTCATCTAGAGGTAAAGGCACTTACCCTCAAGCCTTCCAGGTGTGGTGAAAAGGTCAAGGAATTATCAAAAATTCTGAGAAATGTGTCTGGAATGCCAGGAATAAGACAGCACTACTAAGTAACACCATTTGGACTGACTATATAAACCCAAGTTAGATTGGAGGCCATGACAAAGCCCTAGTCTTTTATGGCTCTTAGAAGATTCTCAGACAATACCCAGGTAAGGAGATGAGACTGTGTGGAAAAATTAAAATAAATAAGTGATTTTTCATGTCATAGATATCTGTTCTTATCTGACATTTTTATCTGAAAATATCAGATGATAGTTATCTACAATACAAAAATAACATAGAGCAAATAAGAACTACTATAAACTAACCTGCTTTAGAGAAAAGACGCCATCACTTAGGAATGAGCTTTAAAAATCTCATCAACAGTTTTTGGCAAATGTATAGCCAAACTAAAAAGAGTATATTTTAAGACTGTGAAGCAAACACTGTGCCCAGCAGAGGGCAGTGCAGCTCTCCACAAAACTCACTGAGTACAAATGAGAGTCGCACTCACATTAGGAGCTGAAATATTCTAATCCATGAAAACTATTTTGTGTCTAGTGACTTTACCTTTCTAAATGGTGACAGACATATTGACAGACTGCTATGTCCCTTGAAGAGGTAGCACAAGGAAGAGCTATTAAAGTCCTGTAAATTTGAAATTCCCTGGAACTTATTAGCTCCTTCCAGATAAAGAACTGTATCATCATTTGGGGAGGGCTAAGGTTTCCTTTGCCTTCACTATTTAAAACAACTGTCTTTGTTTCCTAAAACTTACTAAATAAATGAGCTTTTAAAAGAGCCTAATATCCCAAATTTTATTTTACATTCTCCTTTAACTTGCACTGTATACAACCTCAATAGCTGAGGACATTTTTTATTCTAGAGCATTTCCTATGGAAATACGCAGTACAAAAGTGGTTCTCAAGTAAGATTCATTCCAACAGGCAGCTTCCATCCTAATAATGTATGGTTGATCGTTTTAATATTTTTCTTCTAGCAATATTGTGCTAATTCTAATTTTGAACAGACTGATAAACTACTATTACGGTCTTGACAGCCACTGATGAACATTTATGTTCTTCAAAAGAACAGGTTTAAAATACCAATTTTAGGTTTATATGATGTATGATTATATTTTTAAAAAAACATGCAAATAAGAGCTATACAAAATACACATTTTTGATCCACTAACATTCATCCTCCACATATAGGCACTTGATTCAAACCAAAACAATGGCGATGAATTATTATTTTTTTAAACTCAAGTGTTTCAAAGTTTTTCAGTAGTAAATTTACAGCTGAAAATTTTGAAAAGACCTAGATTCAAGTCAATTTCCTGAGAACTAGGACATGACTCCTCAATTCATCATATTTATTGTTTATCGCAAATGTACAGATGAGATGTGCAGTTATACGTTTTTAACAAAAGAGTCCTTCAAGATTACCATAAAATAGTCCTTCAAGATTACCACAAACTTATTTGCCACTCAGAAAAGAGACGTATTCAGTATTTCAGTCTCATAGGGAAACTGAAGAAGAGCAAATAAATCAAACAATTCTAAATATAGTTACTATGGCCCAATTAGTTCGAATAATGATGCGAAGTCAGAATAGCTTTACTTCTTAGAAAAGAATATAACAGATCCACAACTTAGCAACCACGCTGTGTAGCCTGTAAGCGATCTCTGCTGTCTGAGGAAGCAGTGACAAAAAGCAGGAATTACTATTGTGGTTGTGGTTTTCAAAACGTTACCTCCAGAAGTGCAGTTCGAACCCCTCACATTTTCCTTTGCATTTTAAACAGGGGGCTCCAAATCCTTGCTCATGTCCTAAGCCCATCTGTTAAAGAGAAAACAACGTGAACCTGTTATTACATTAAAAAAAAAAAAATCTAAAAAAAATTCAATAAATTACACCTTTAATTCCATTTACCACTCCTGTTGATATAACTTGCAAATAAATCTTTTATGAGTGTCACATTGTTTAGTCAGTGATGACACCCAGGTACACTAAATGGCGCTTCCAAGTACACACACTACATACTTTGTATTCTTATTGCTTTTTTTCATGAATAGAAAAGCATTAGAATACAACTACGTAGAAGACTACAAATATTGCAAGTGACAAAAAGTCATGAATTCATCTCTTTGGCCACTTCATGCCCTGTATACAATAGATACAGGGAGCAGTCAGAGGAGCCAGAGCTCGGAAAGCAAGCCTAGCCCCAAATGACATATTTTTTGGCAAACACGGAATATGCAAATGATTTAGGGAAATACAATTTAATATTATTTTATTTTTTGATAAATATAATAATAATAACAATAATAATAGCAACAACAAACATATTGAATGCCAGGAATAGAGATAAAGTACTTATCTCATTGAAATCTTACAGAACCTCATAAAATGCTTATAAAGTAGGCAATATTGTTCTCCATCTTAGAGATGACAACTGAAATTCAGAGAGGCTGTAGAGCTTGTTTCAGATCAAAATGTTAATAAATGGTAGAGAAGAGATCTGACTCCAGGTCTACCTGATTCCAAGGTCTGTGCTCTTATGCCTGAGGTAGGGGTGGAGGGGTTGTACTACTGTCCTCATTATAGCAGACTATTTCCCCTTCCCGTATTGAACAATAACCCTCTGGAACTCCTGAGACATGACTTAATAAGCAGAAGAAGAGGGAGCTGCAGATGAGGGAAGGACACAAGAAGGCAATGCAACCTCTTTTACCCAACTATTGATACTAGAGTAAAAAAGATTGACTGGCTTTGCTTCAGCACATTGGCAAATCACCAGTGCCTCGATTATTCTGTAGCTTAAATATCACATCAGTGACTGCTGACAAACTTGTTACGGCCTAGTGTCTGGAGTAAGAGTTCAAGCCAGATGAGAGAATTTTTTCAGTGGCTCCCTGTTGTAGCTTGACCAAGTTGTGTTTCTCCTGTGCAATCAAAACCACATTGTAACTTGTTCCTTGAAAGATCAGCTTGACCATGCCCTGAAGTTTAAATGAAGCCCTTCCATTTTTCCCTGAAGAAAATGACCACATCCTCTTATGATAACTAAGTGCATATTCAAAACCAGCTGGTCCACCCAGCTGCTTAGGAGAACCTACAATATTTTAAAGGTATACCCTCTCAAGAATACTTTCTAAAGGGGATAAAAATCTGTCCAGCATTAACTAAACTTTGTCACCTTTGCCATGTTTCCATTACCAATTTTCAAAGATTTAAAATTCTCTAAATTGTATACTTTAAAACTAGACATTTTTTTTTTGAAAGAATCAAATTATTTCCTTGTCACTGATCATTATAGTTCACAGTACGGAAATAAAGTGGGTTACGCAAAAGACAGAGAATCTAGCTATTTTAGTTTTCTGGTCTTTTCTGGTCTTTTGCAAGGAACATAATTAAAGAGTTTTCTCCATTACGATATCCACAGTAAAATGAACAGCAAATCTAAAAAGAGGTCTATTCTTTTTCAAGCCCTTTCTAGTTTCCCATTACAGGAGAGGTAACAATCCTGAATCCTCCTGGTATATGGATTTACCTCATACTGTGTTTCATGCATCTCCTGCTAAACTCGGATCCCAAATGAAAATTAAGATTACATTATTAAGGCTTAATCACATAGCTTAGTTTAAATCAGTTGCTTCAAACTCTCTTGTGTATAATTCACAGTAAGAAGTACATTTTATCCTATGAAAGAGAACATGCAGACATACACAAACTTATATGTAAGTGTGTATAAAATCCTGAAACAAAGAGTTACTGGCTTATATAATAGTGGAGAACTAAGTATGCTTCTGCCTCTAAGTTAAATGGCCACCTAAACAAATTCTTGCCTGCCTTCCAATCTAAATCATCTGGTCTGAGCAACACTGGCCTTAATAAAATACCATAAACATACTGGACCAATACCATCTCATTCTGTATTTCTGAATGAAACTCGGAAGCTCAGCTAATATAACTAGAACCTCAATTAGTCACCAGAGATTTTACACTAAGGCCTCGGTGTAGCTCATTGCTGATTTAAAAAGTCAGCCTTGGAAAGGGGCAAGTTGTTTCTTTCCTACCTGCTTTTCAATCTTCTTAAAATGGTTATCAGTTTATTTATTAGAATTATTAGAACTGGTGGTGTCTCATGAACATCTACTCTTTTAAATTGCCCCACATATTCTTAGTGCGGGACAGGCCTAGGCGTCCCCCTGGTGGAAGAGATCAGGAAACTAAAATTCAGAGGAGAGTTGATTTGCTCTTGGTCGTACAGCTAGTCGACAGCAAGCTAACCTAAAACCCAGTCTGACTTGTGCTGCACTGTGCTAGTGCTGCTGGGGCAGACTCTATAGGGTGTCCAGTGGGACCCCTTCCGTTTTCTAAAAAGATTCCCTGCCTCATTTCTGCTTCAAGGAAAAGAACTACAGGCCCCAAGCCTCCTGCAACACGTCTCAATGGAGATGACTTTGAGGCCTCTATAAAGAGAAGCCTTGAATCAGGCAGGGAGGTTGGGAAAGCTCTTTTGAACAAGTGATAGCTGAACTGAGCTGGAAAGGATGAGCAACATCTAACTCAGTAAAGAGGAGGAGGAAGTATGTTCAAGGCAGAGGGGACACCATATTTGAAGTCTGTGACAGAAGAGGGATGGTTAGAGCTGAGGACATCTTAGAGTACTTGAGAGGTGATACAGCCAGCCTTGCAGCAGGCCAGGTGGGGGTTCTCTCTCTTTTTTTCCTTTTCCTGAGGAAGAAATAAATCTCCTGAACAATTTGGTACGGTGTCTTAGGCCACCAGATTTAACAGAGAAGACATTCCCAGAGAAAGGATGATACTCTAAGGAGGAAGCTTTAGAGAAAAGCCATGCAGGCAATGGGGGTGGGGTGGAGAATGGGGGGGAGGGGGGCAAAAGCCCCTCTTAAGTTCTGCTGGCCAAACCTCAGGGTTAGGGAGACCCACGGAAATAAAGTGTGTTATGCAAAAGACAAGAGAATCTAGCTATTTTAGTTTTCAGGAGACCCGACTCTGAGAAAAGCAGTAATTTGAGAAAAAGGGCTCTGCAGTCTGCCCTGGAAAGCTCAGAAAGCACCGCTCCAATGTTATTCCACCCCTGCTGGCCGGCCTGCCTGGAAGGTCACCTTAATCTCCATACAGGCTCTTTCCTGCAATTTGGGTTTGTGACCACCTTAAGAACATGTCCCTTCCCTTCCCACCTTCCCAAACACACACACTTTCCTCTTCCCCCAGGGCCCAGACATAAGGAGTGAGGGGACTCTCAAAAATCACAAAGAGACAACAAGTAAATGAAAGAGAGTGGAATGAGGTCATGGCAATATGATACACTCTCTCCTGCTATAACCCAAAGGAAGCAGTTCTAATTAAAAAACAACACTCAAACCAAAAAAGCACCTAGTTTTCAAAACCACTGTTAGCAGCTAAAGTGATTAGAGAGTTTCAGACTGGCAATGAATTTACTCTCTTTAAGGGAATTTTATTAAATTTCCCCTGTAAATGAAGCTATAAAAAGTCAACCTCCTTGACACCCAGCATTGAAGATCTCTAACTTATGCAACTTACTGGGTGGATACGTCTTCCATAATCTTACCCTTTTTATCAACCTCAGTTAGGATACAAAAGCACAAAGCCACTCAGATAACAAAGATCTGTGGGTCACACTCCAGCATTTTCCCTGTTTCGTCGATGTGCCTAGTTCCAGGCTAAGTTATAATCCAGAGTGCAATGTGTTCTCTAATCCTGTTCAATCCAATTTAGATGATAAAATTGCACCCCAGCAGACACATCCCTACTGGTGTGAGGCAACTTTCTTCTGCTTTTGTTCCCATGCCAATTTAGGCATCCAGGCATCTGCTACCCTCCCTTTAACAAGTCAAACATATATCAAATGAAGTAAAATGTACGGATTTTACTCTGTAGTAAAATGAGTTTCAGAGCCAGAGCTGCCCTAGGCACAGTTTCTCAAGACCTATTCCGAGACCTTTTGGGCAGAGGTCACAGGAGCTGGGATTCCCCAACTCTTCCTAGTCTCAGTTTGAGGGTCAGGAACCCCATCTGTCCTAAGGGCTCAGCCAATTTCTCTTCCTCCTTACTCTGTGTTCAGGATTCCCTTAACTCCAGGATCCAGAATTCTTCTCACTATACCTTGCCCTTCCCCCTACCCGCAGCACAGACTGCATCCTTTGGTCAGGGTCCTTCTCCTTTCCTCCAGAGCCATGGCTGCTACTCTTAGACATCTGGATCTTACCGGTTAGTTTCTGCCCAGGTTTCTGGGCTGGAGAATTCTTGGTGAGGGATGAGAACAGGGAAGGTGTTATTTAATGATACCCATGGTGTGTGGGAGGGGGTGGTAGAGAGGAAGGGAAGTCCAGAAAGTATTAGCTCCTCAGCTAAGGTAGCCTGGCTGCTTAGAACGTGAAGTTCAGATCCTTGGAGTAATATAAACACCAATATATGTGTGCTCATATGTCATATGTCACGAGAATTAGCTACACCAGGTATTAAGGAAATGATCAAGAATTACATGGCTAAACAGTGAAAATGTAGAAAGAGCACTGGAAGAGAGTCAGGAAAACTGTGATCTGGCCCCAAGGTATTATATCACTGCCAAGTCCAGTGATTTTAGAAGTCATTTTTCTTCTTTAGGCTTCATCTAGGTAATGAAGGAATTGAACTAGATCAATTCCAAGACACCTTTTAATTCTAAAATTATGACTGAAAATCATGTTTCAGATTAACTTCATCTTAGTTGTTATTCAGCATGGTCATCTGCTCAACATTTAAACACTAAATAGAAAATAATTATTTGAGAAAGCTAATATATTATT